TGCAACTGAAGGAATTTGGAGTATGACCCGGCCGGACCACCTCAGCCGGGCTCACACCATAACCTTCATCCCGTGTGGGGCAAGGGTGGCGGGGCCTCAACCTGCTCCCCGACCGCCATCTACCCGGAGATGATCGCGCCCTACGTCGATGGGCGAACGCACGTCGATGAATGACGTCAAGAACGACGAGATGGTGCGGGTGTATTGGAACATGCTAGATTCGATTGCTGGCATCCCCGTCATGGATCATTTTGAGGTCAACCTGTTTCCGCTCAAGATTCAGCTCGAACGAGAGCTCGGCAAGCGGCTATTCGAATACATTTTCCCCGGCATGGACGGAGACAAGACGCCTGGCGGCAGAAACGACTCGCCGTTCATGGTCAAACACAACTACATGCAGGACGAGAGCGGCGACGAGGAGTCCCTGTCAAACTCGACAACAAGTCGACTGACGCCGTCGGACAAGGACAACTTCAACACGAGGCCCGGCTCGCTCGAGCTGCGCCTACACCCAACACTGACGTCTGACGCGCCGGCCAAGACGGCAGGATCTTCCAAGAAGGCCCTGTCAGTCCATAACGGTACCGAGGGCCACTCTTTTCGACTGTTCCGCTCCATGGGCACGGGCAAGACAATCAACAAGAAAGCATCGTACGACTCGCTGCGATCATCGAACGCGCCGCGGCCTGGCAATATCGGGCGCTCGTCTACAGGAACGTCGTTTAGAGAGGGCGGCATCGGAGGCGCAACGGAGAAGAAGTCACGGTTCGGGCCTGCTCCGTGGTGACAAGGACGACAAGGACGAGAAGCAGTCGGACGACCTCACCAAGATGATGACGCGCGCCAGCAGCTACATGACGTTTGCGTTCATCAAGATGCCCTCGGTAGTGCTCTGCCTCAGCTACAAGGGCAAAGACAGCCGCAACTTTGAGGACGTGCACGACTTTGTGTTCCGCATGCCGGCGATTGAGTGGCGCAACAAGACGTGGTCGAACCTCGACCTCGCGCTGGCACTGAAGAAGGCCGTCATCAAGGCGCTCATCTCGCACACGGGTGCCATCATCGGCAACAAATTCAAGCTGCGGCCGAACACGGCGCAGACGAGCAAGCTGCGGGAGCTGGTCCCCAACTCGAGCCTCATCGCGCCGTCGGGCTCGTCGCAGGTGGG